GATAATGTTTCCGCGCTCGTGGGTTTCACCAATCTGGTAAACGTCTTGGACCTTCATGACTTCTCCCACATCAAGGTGTCACTCACTCACTCACTCACTCACTCACTCACTCACTCACCCACTCACTCACTCACTCACTCATTCACTCACTCACTCACTCACTCACTCACTGGAACCGAGGCAGTGGACATACCTGTCGGACGCCGCTATACAGGCGGTATACTATGACCATTAATGTAATCAAATTGTCAACAGCGTCAAATGGTTTGTTGGAGGAAAAAGTAAAAATAACGTAAGAAGGTGTTTGTCACATGATTTATGTAAATGACGTCACCTTTAGTTCATGTGGTCCAGGTGTTAGTGACAGATACGCACCCCTTCTCAGCTCCAACAACCTATACTCATCCACCTCTCAGTTCTATCAGCCTATACTCATCCACCTCTCAGTTCTAGCAGCCTATACTCATCCACCTCTCAGTTCTAGCAGCCTATACTCATCCACCTCTTAGTTCTAGCAGCCTATACTCATCCACCTCTCAGCTCTATCAGCCTATACTCATCCACCTCTCAGCTCTATCAGCCTATACTCATCCCCTTCTCAGTTTTATCAGCCTATACCCATCTACCTCTCAGCTCTATCAGCCTATACTCATCCATCTCTCGGCTCTAGCGACCTACATGCACCCCTTATCAGCTCTGAAGCCTATACTCATTCCCATCTCAGCTCTAGCAACCTATACTCATCCACCTCTCAGCTCTACCAGCCTATACTCATCCCCTTCTCAGCTCTAGCAGCCTATACTCATCCACCTTTCAGCTCTAGCAACCTATACACATCCTCCTTTCAGCTCTAGCAGCCTATACTCATCCACCTCTCGGCTCTAGCGACCTACACGCACCCCTTATCAGCTCTGCAGCCTATACTCATTCCCATCTCAGCTCTAGCAACCTATACTCATCCCCTTCTCAGCTCTAGCAGCCTATACTCATCCACCTTTCAGCTCTAGCAACCTATACACATCCTCCTTTCAGCTCTAGCAGCCTATACTCATCCACCTCTCAGCTCTATCAGCCTATACTCATCCCCTTCTCAGCTCTAGCAGCCTATACTCACCCCCTTCTCAGTTTTATCAGCCTATACCCATCTACCTCTCAGCTCTATCAGCCTATACTCATCCATCTCTCGGCTCTAGCGACCTACATGCACCCCTTATCAGCTCTGAAGCCTATACTCATTCCCATCTCAGCTCTAGCAACCTATACTCATCCACCTCTCAGCTCTACCAGCCTATACTCATCCCCTTCTCAGCTCTAGCAGCCTATACTCACCCCCTTCTCAGTTTTATCAGCCTATACCCATCTACCTCTCAGCTCTATCAGCCTATACTCATCCATCTCTCGGCTCTAGCGACCTACATGCACCCCTTATCAGCTCTGAAGCCTATACTCATTCCCATCTCAGCTCTAGCAACCTATACTCATCCACCTCTCAGCTCTACCAGCCTATACTCATCCCCTTCTCAGCTCTAGCAGCCTATACTCATCCACCTTTCAGCTCTAGCAACCTATACACATCCTCCTTTCAGCTCTAGCAGCCTATACTCATCCACCTCTCAGCTCTATCAGCCTATACTCATCCATCTCTCGGCTCTAGCGACCTACACGCACCCCTTATCAGCTCTGCAGCCTATACTCATTCCCATCTCAGCTCTAGCAACCTATACTCATCCCCTTCTCAGCTCTAGCAGCCTATACTCATCCACCTTTCAGCTCTAGCAACCTATACACATCCTCCTTTCAGCTCTAGCAGCCTATACCCATCCCCTTCTCAGCTCTAGCAGCCTATACTCATCCACCTCTCATCTCTATCAGCCTATACTCATCCACCTCTCAGCTCAAGCAGCCTATACTCATCCACCTCTCAGCTCTATCAGCCTATACTCATCCACCTCTCAGCTCTTCCAGCCTATACTCATCCCCATCTCAGCTCTAGCAGCCTATACTCATCCCCTTCCCAGCTCTAGCAGCCTATACTCATCCACCTCTCAGTTCTAGCAGCCTATACTCATCCACCTCTCAGGTCTAGCAGCCTATACTCATCCACCTCTCAGGTCTAGCAGCCTATACTCATCCACCTCTCAGTTCTAGCAGCCTATACTCATCCACCTCTCAGGTCTAGCAGCCTATACTCATCCACCTCTCAGCTCTATCAGCCTATACTCATCCCCTTCTCAGCTCTATCAGCCTATACCCATCCCCTTCTCAGCTCTAGCAGCCTATACTCATCCACCTTTCAGCTCTAGCAACCTATACACATCCTCCTTTCAGCTCTAGCAGCCTATACTCATCCACTTCTCAGCTCTAGCAGCCTATACTCATCCACCTTTCAGCTCTAGCAGCCTATACTCATTCCCTTTATCAGCTCTGCAACCTATATTCATTCCCTGTTTAGGTCTATCAGCCTATACTCATCCACCTCTCAGCTCTAGCAGCCTACACTCATCCACCTCTCAGTTCTAGCAGCCTATACTCATCCACCTCTCAGCTCTAGCAGCCTACACTCATCAACCTCTCAGTTCTAGCAACCTATACTCATCCACCTCTCAGCTCTAGCAGCCTATACTCATCCACCTCTCAGCTCTAGCAGCCTATACTCATCCACCTCTCAGTTCTAGCAGCCTATGCTCATCCACCTCTCAGCTCAAGCAGCCTATACTCATCAACCTCTCAGTTCTAGCAGCCTATACTCATCCACCTCTCAGTTCTAGCAGCCTATACTCATCCCCTTCCCAGCTCTAGCAGCCTATACTCATCCACCTCTCAGTTCTAGCAGCCTATACTCATCCACCTCTCAGGTCTAGCAGCCTATACTCATCCACCTCTCAGCTCTATCAGCCTATACTCATCCATCTCTCGGCTCTAGCGACCTACACGCACCCCTTATCAGCTCTGCAGCCTATACTCATTCCCATCTCAGCTCTAGCAACCTATACTCATCCCCTTCTCAGCTCTATCAGCCTATACCCATCCCCTTCTCAGCTCTAGCAGCCTATACTCATCCACCTTTCAGCTCTAGCAACCTATACACATCCTCCTTTCAGCTCTAGCAGCCTATACTCATCCACTTCTCAGCTCTAGCAGCCTATACTCATCCACCTTTCAGCTCTAGCAGCCTATACTCATTCCCTTCTCAGCTCTTCAACCAATATTCATTCCCTGTTTAGGTCTAGCAGCCTATACTCATCCACCTCTCAGTTCTAGCAGCCTACACTCATCCACCTCTCAGTTCTAGCAGCCTATACTCATCCACCTCTCAGCTCTAGCAGCCTATATTCATCCACCTCTTAGTTCTAGCAGCCTATACTCATCCACCTCTCAGCTCTAGCAGCCTATACTCATCCACCTCTCAGCTCTAGCAGCCTATATTCATCCACCTCTTAGTTCTAGCAGCATATATTCATCCACCTCTCAGCTGTATCTTCCTATACTCATCCACCTTTCAGCTCTATCAGCCTATATTCATCCCCTTCTCGGTTCTGCAGCCTATACTCATTCCCTTCTCAAGTCTAGCAGCCTATACCTATCCCCTTCTCTGCTCTAGCAGCCTATACCCATCCACCGTTCAGCTCCGCAGCATATACTCGCCTCCTTCTCAGCTCTCTGAAATTAAGAGACTTGAGGGTTCTTCAGTAGAATTATGCTTATTTAACCTCTTACACAACTTTATGTGGGGGACATTGTGTTAGTATTGGGTATGTCAAAGTAGGGACAAACGGCATGTGCAAGTGTTCATTTACTGACAGACACATTTCAATTGAAATGACGTCCGTCGGTTTCCATTTTCTGTCTCCTCACCATATAACTACCACATGTAGACCTTGAGGTTGTTGATCTAGTTTACAATTAAAGCGTAGGTGGTGTGACGTCATAAAAGTCCATCGTGTATTTCCTGTTGCCGGAGTAACGAAATACGGTTGTGGATATAAAAGATATATCACCCCGGGGATGTTTATAATACAGTGTTGTATTTGATCGTTTGAAGCAGCTAGTCCCACAGCTAGATTTACTTTAACTGCACCACGCTTTGTTCTCAATATTACAATGTCTAGTGACAATATTAATATGTGAATGAATACACACCAATATGCATTGCAACGGACCCAATGCTACATCTGTTACCCGTGTGTTATTGCTGAAGGTCCTTTTGTTCATTGCAATTAAGCATATGTTAAAACATGTTTTTTGTTATTCGCACAAAGCACAAAAACAAACCTTGTATTGGGAGGGTATATTTATTAGATACCACCCTACAGACGATTGTCATTTGCAATTCAGATGATATAATATTATTCATAATTATTCATAAAAGGATATAAAGTTGTTTGTGCGTCCGCCAGTCAGAGTTCACTCATTTGTGTTTCAGAAATTGGGAAATTTAAACTTGAACCTGGAGTGTTAGTCGAAAGGTTAGTGCCGTCGCACGCTACACGTAAAGTCCGAGTTGGTGTTTACAATGGGGTGACCTCCATTGTTCTGGTATGTCCTTTTTATGAATAAAATCTACCTCTATATACTATCAGTAAGGGGAGCGTAGGGTGGCCCAGGGTTAAAGCGTTCGCACGTCACGCTGAACGAGTGGGTTCGATTCCCTGTATGGGTACAATGTGTGAAGCACATTTCTGGTGTACCCCGCGGTGATATTGCTGGAATATTGCTAAAGCGGCGTAAAACCATACTCACTCACTCACTTCTGTCACTAAGTAGTACTGATCTAGCTAAGCTATGTAGTATTCACTCTCTAATCTAGCCCAGATAGTGTTATCGTGTTTATCTTGAATACCATCTTCAAACCTTGTTCTCAGATCGCGATCTGCTTCATCATTAATAACGATCCCTCAATTATTAACCACACGACCAAGGGTAACGCGCGTACAACATCTGAGAAAGCGTGCTGCTAACATGAGTTTGTGCTCGCCGCGAGCAGGCGCCATAATGCATGAACGTCAGCAGAGGTCACGTGACACGCATCCTATCTGGCGAGAAGGTTGTAGCAGACGACCGTTTGTACAAACGGTGGACTCACAATCAGATAGTTGTGTCAGTCGCGATGTCGGCGCTAGTCGGGACATGGAATTATGTCTCGCAGGAAAATCTGGACGGGTACATGGAGGCAATAGGTGAGTCGGCCTACTTTCGTTACAATCGTTACCTGTGCTAGGTACCCGGTGCAGTCTGAATTGAAAATTGTAGGTATGTCTGTCTAAAGTCGTGTATAATGATATTCGGTGTATCAAACTCGATCTTTGCGTTTGTCTGTCAAAGGTCATGGGTAGTGATATTCGACGTAACTAACTTTGATCTTTGCGATGATTATTTTTTGCTGATAATGTTTCAGCACAAATGTTATTAGGTTTACCCCCTTTTTGATAATGGGGGTTGGGGGGAGGCGGGGGGGGGGGGGGGGGGGACACTATGAATGGACATACATCACACTTCGTATCATATAAGGAATCGTGCTCGGTTCTAAGCGACAGTTTTACCCACTTGGCTACCCTTTTCCCTCCTTCGCCGGTTTGAGTGAGTGTGTATGGTTTTATGCCGCTTTAATTACGGCGGGGGACACCAGAAATGAGCTTCACACATTGTACTCATGTCGGGAATCGAACCCGGGTCTTCGGCGTGACGTGCGAACGCTTTAACCACTAGGCTACCTCACCGCTCCTAAGCATATTTGTGAAGATCCACAAAACATATGTCATGCACCCATATGACAACAACAGTGAAATGATTAGGGGACAATTACGTAATTGTTTTTGAGGTGGGAATTTGTTTTCGTAATAACATGTACTTAGCGACTTGTACTGTACATTAAAAGATAAACTGCCAGACAAAAGAAGATATACACCCATGTTTGATGGTGGCTAAAAAACAAACAAACAAGAAATGGTTATTCATGGTGATGTACTTGATACAGGCATCATGGTTTTGTTTCGACGACTGTTTTCAGCCTAGTAACGTTTGGACAACGTTTGTAATCTCTTTTTATTAAACATAATTTTAAGTGTATAATTTCCTTGGCCTGAAGTAGTCCTGAAGTTATAATTGATGAGAAAAGAGACGGGATATTTCGTCGGTCACTTGTCAAATTCAATGTTCAAGTGTGTTCTTTCTTTTGTCCGTCAGTTGATATAACATTTATTTCGTTTCTCGCAATGAGTATCGTCAGCAAACGCCATCTTTTGAATACATTCTGATCAAGGACTGAAGGAGTGGTGTTGAAGTAGACGCGTTCCGCCCGATAAGTATCCAATCACATTCCGCCCGATAAGAATCCAATGCGCTGAATGTCACTGAGATGGCTTCGCTTCATAAGTATGCTTCAGTGTTGACAACACCTTGTCACAGACTTGTAACATATATATTGTATATCTATAACATTATGCACATGAGCGTCCACAGTGGTTATAGCGCTGAGCTATAACATTTATAACATTGTGCACAGGAACGTTCTCGCGTGTAACATTTATAACACTGGCACAGGAGCGTTCTCACGTGTAACGTTTATAACATTGTGCACAGGAGCGTTCTCACGTGTAACATTTATAACACTGGCACAGGAGCGTTCTCACGTGTAACATTTATAACACTGGAAAAGGAGCGTTATCACGTGTAACATTTATAACATTGTGCACAGGAGCGTTCTCACGTTTAACATTTATAACACTGGCACAAAAGTGTTCATACGTGTAACATTTATAACATTGCGCACAGGAGCGTTATCACGTGTAACATTTATAACATTGTTCACAGGAGCGTTATCACGTGTAACATTTATAACATTGCGCACAGGAGCGTTATCACGTTTAACATTGATAACATTGTGCACAGGAGCGTTCTCACGTGTAACATTTATAACATTGTGCACAGGAGCGTTCTCACGTGTAACATTTATAACATTGTTCACAGGAGCGTTATCACATGTAACATTTATAGCATTGTACACAGGTGCGTTCTCACGTGTAACGTTGTAACATTGTGCACAAGAGCGTTCTCACGTGTAACATTTATAACATTGTTCACAGGAGCGTTATCACGGGTAACGTTTTAATATTGTACACAGTAGCGTTCTCACGTGTAACGTTGTAGCATTGTATACAGAAGCGTTCTCACGTGTAACATTTATAACATTGTACACAGGAGCGTTCTCGCGTGTAACGTTGTAACATTGTATACAGAAGCGTTCTCAGGTAAAACAGTTAATAAAATATTGTGCACAGAAGCGGTATCACGTGTAACGTTGTAACATTGTACACATTAGCGTTCTCACGTATAACATTTATAACATTGTTCAAAGAAGCGTTATCATGTGTAACATTTATAACATTGCGCACAGGAGCGTTATCACGTGTAACGTTATAATATTGTCGTCAGGAGCATTATCACACGTAACATTTATAGCATTGCGCACAGGAGCGTTATCACGGGTAACGTTTTAACATTGTACACAGTAGCGTTCTCACGGGTAACGTTGTAACACTGTATACAGGAGCGTTCTCACGTGTAACATTTATAACATTGTGCACAGAAGCGTTATCAAGTGTAACCTTTTAACATTGAACACAGGAGCGTTCTCACGTGTAACGTTGTAACATTGTATACAGAAGCGTTCTCACGTATAACATTTATAACATTGTGCACAGAAGCGTTGTCACGTGTAACCTTTTAACATTGTACACAGGAGCGTTCTCACGTGTAACGTTGTAACATTGTATACAGAAGCGTTCTCACGTATAACATTTATAACATTGTGCACAGAAGCGGTATCACGTGTAACGTTGTAACATTGTACACAGGAGCGTTCTCACGTGTAACATTTATAACATTGTATAATTTATTTCCGTTAAATTTGTATAACATGGTACAATGGAGCGTTCTCACGTAAATACACAGGCGCATTCCATGTGTAACTTTTTAAGATTATGCACAGGGGCGTTCCAACGGTTATAACGTTGAGCATAGGGCCATCTACACACGGAACGGTGATAACATATGGACAGAAGCATCCCCACGTGAAACTTTTGTAACTTGTTATAACTAAAGGGTAAACATTGAGATTCAATAGGAATGAGTATACGATGTATTCGGATATAAATGGTATTCAGGATAATCGGATTTAAAAAAAGAGGGTCGTCTGTTGGCGATCCTTTGTAGACCAGAGCCTCCTAAGATTCGATTATTTCAGGCAGTTTATCCTGGAACAAAGACAATACGCATTATGACAGTTACACGATGCTCAGATGGAGCGGACAGGTTCAATATGCCTATATGTACCATGGACTTGTGAGTGAGTATTATTTTACACAGCCTTTAGTTATATCCAGGAATATCACGGCGGGGAACACCAGAAATGGGCTTCTCGCATTGTTCCAATGTGTTGATTTGAACCCGGGCCTTCGGTGTAAGGAGCGAACGCTTTAACCACTCGGCTACCTCACCGCCCCTATAGTATCTGGAACCAATAGTAACGGCATATAACGCTGCTTCATCGAAGAATTCATGCATGCTTTTTCTGTTCTTGAAAATGATTATCAATGTTTATGATCAATAAAGTTTCATTGAGAGAGGTTGCATGGCAGGGGGGGCTTCTGTTCGCCGGTCGTTACTGTACAGAAATAGCTGTTCCCGCGTTCATGAGCCAAGTTGCATAAACGCGTTGGTTTTGTCTCGTGTTATTCAGCACTTAAATTGTTCAAATAACCACTATGTTGTAGTGAGTGAGTGAGTGAGTTGGGTTTAACGCCGCTTCTAACAGTATTACAGTTATATCGCGGCTTATCAGCTTATTGTTGGAGGAAAGCCCGAAGTGATGTAGGTCTCAGACGTTTACCACTTCGGTGAAACCCACGAGAACGGGTATGGTGCTGACAAACCTAGAAACATAATCGGGGCGAACCGGGATTCGAACCCACGATCATAGGTTTCTGGCGTGCCCAAGGGACGCAACTCTGCACAGCGAATCGCGGCGCCTTAGGCGACAAAACAAACAAATTAAGCGCGGATACAAGCTCCGACGTTCACACAATTTGGCCCTCTCTCAATGAAGGTTGATACTCCAATGAAAGTCAATTCTTAAATGGTTTGTGTGACCCCTTCAGTGAATCGAAAGACATTTGTAGTGTGTTTTTCTCCCAGATTACGGATTTCACCTTTACCCCCCTGTCACTGAATCATCCATGTCAACAATGGCCTATTATTTCAGACCTTATACAACATAAGAATGTATGTGACAAATGTGATCTTTTTTTTTAACCCCCGCGAAGATCCGGGTTAAAACTGGTCTCTAGCAACCTGTGCGACTAACGGGATCGGGTGGTCAGGCTTGCTGACAGTTGATGCGTGAATGAAGATCGAGGCTCATGAGGTCAATCGCTGGATTTTCTGGCCCAGGGTGGATTATTTACAGACCGCCGTCAAATAGGTGGAATATTGCTGAGACGTTAAACAACAAACAAATAAACAAATGTTTGCCTCGCGTACTTCAATTAAATGTTAGATCATGTTGGGTCTTGTGTACTTCTCGCGAACTTCAATTAAATGTTAGATCATGTTGGGTCTTGTGTACTTCTCGCGTACTTCAATTAAATGTGAGATCATGTTGGGTCTTGTGTGGCACAGCGACCAGAAGGTTCGTTAACAGCGAATTGTCTATCCTGCCTGGTTGGCTGCACGAAGATGCTGAAGATTAGTAAATATCACATATTATTTTTAAAAATTAATTTATATATTTTCATGTTGCTTATTACAAATGAGTGAGTGAGTGAGTGAGTACGGTTTTACGCCGCTTTTAGTAATATCCCAGCAATATGAAGGCGGGGGACACCAGAAATGAGCTTCACACATTGTACCCATGTCGGGAATCGAACCCGGGTCTTCGGCGTGACGAGCGAACGCTTTAACCACTAGGCTACCCGACCGCCCCTATAACAAATGAACATACCATGATTCTATGGTTGGTTAAATTTAGGCGGTTATATAAAATTATATCTTGTAATCCTGTACTGTGATACAATGATTGTAGCATTTATTGGGTTGTAGCTCTGTGCTGGTAATTTGAACTTTGACCTGTGTCTTGTTTAATATCCAATTTTCTAAGTCAACCCAAAGTGAGTTCACTTTTCTGCACGACCAAATACATGTGTTCAATAGTTTCTTTCAAATCTGGGCAGAAGCTACATAAGTTGTTGTCTACGTATCCCGTCTTGTAAAGTTCATTGTTTGTTGGTAAAATAACGTGCATTATTTGGTATTGAAACCATTCGTGTTGGTTACACGTCTAAAAGGTCTTAGGTTGTAGTTAGGCTTATCTTTATCCGTCATCTTAGTTTCTAGTAGACTTTCAAATTTATCAAAGTGTCGATTTTTGGCACTATTGTTTTGTATTAAGGTTGAGTCGTGACATTGACTTTCTTTTGATCGATTTAAGTAGGTGAAACAAGTTAAAAGTAGAATACGGTATTGCTTTTCCTTTTGGAAATTGTTTATCCCCTTTATACGGCAGTATTGTTTTAGAGTTCAGTATACTCATGTGTTTTAGAAAGTGTGTTTTATTTGAAAGGTTCCTTTGAAATTTTAAAACGAAAGAAAAAGACCCAATTCATCAATAAGGTCATTGATATAGTTTACACCTTTTTCTTTCCAATCCTTATACAGAATACATTTGTGGTCTATTTTAATGTTATCGTTATACCCAATTCCCAGTGAAAAGAATACCCAATTCGGAATTTTCTTTCACCTTTATGTTTTTAGAAACCCCGCACAGAGTACATACTCATAGTATTAAACTACAAGACCCACTTGCACAAAGCGATCTTAGCGCAAAGGTGATCGTAGCTCCCATACTTTAACGTAGGTCTACGATGGTCTTAGCGCTAAGATCGCTTTGTGCAAGTGGGCCCCGGTCTGCTCCAGTAACTTTGTTTTCAAATCACAGCTCTTCATTTCGAAGGCATTTGACATTATCGGTACTTGGATTATATATTTTAAGCAAGTGTGACCATTTTGAAACAAATGCCAAATGCACTGAGTATCATCGATACCTTTTGAGATTGCATTATTTCTTTTATTTGTGGGCATTTTATGCCTCCATCTTTATTTTCACATACCATTAAACTTCTTTTTATTTTATCTGGTTTGCTTCCCCAAATGAGTGAGTGAGTGAGTGAGTGAGTTGGTTTTAACGCCGCTTTTAACATTATTCCAGTTATATCACGGCGTGTCAGCTTAATGTGGGAGGAAAGCCCGTAGTGATGCAGGTCTCAGACGTTTACCTCTTCGATGAAACCCACGAACACGGGTATGGTGCTGACAAACCTAGAAACATAATCGGGGCGAACCTGGATTCGAACCCACAATCATAGGTTTCTGTCGTGCCCAAGGGACGCAACTCTGCACAGCGAATCGCGGCTCCTTAGATGACTCGGCCACCCGTGCCCCCGTTTCCCCAAATGAACTTGAAGCATCCTCTTTTAAACTGATCTAAAACACAGTGAGGTGGGTGAGCTTTGCTGAAAACTAATGACTGAGTTTTGGTAGAATCAAAGATTTGAACACTGTATTTCTTCCCTGTGTGTTAGATTTCTGATTGACCATATTGTCATTTAGGAGATAAACATACTGTGTTTTCAAAGTAGAGCTTGGTAACCTGTAAATTTAACCGCGCTAAATTGAATTTGGAACCGAACGCGCAGTATGTTTATTTCCTAATTAACGCTGTGTTCAGGAGGGCCAAAATCCGTCGTTTGAGTGGGATGTCTGTGAACTGGATGAACCACTCGTACCCGTATGTCCTCGATGGGAATTAAGTCCACCGCAAGCCATTCAGATCAAGGTCATCACGTCACGCCATTCAGGTCAAGGTCACCACGATGGCGCTTTCGCACGCGAGATGAAGAGTCAAAGAGTTTTATCTCGTAATTACGTTTTGTGTAGTCTGATTGAACGCACCTGTCGGAATTAATTGTTGTTGCCGAGATAGCCTGGACTAAAAGATATACATGTACGTTATATCTAATTGAATTGTAAGAAGCTAATGAATTGTGAAAGTTAAAAGGATCGAGGCTTTTCATTTCGCCCACTAGATTGTTGATTGTATGCAGAGGCCAATAATATATTGTCGCATGTTGATGGGTTTACAAATAGTTGTTGCTGCGCCAAGTCTGCATCTTTGAAAGAAAACAAAATAGGACAAATCAACCGATGGACGAGGTTATTCTTTGACTTTATGTTAATCTATTACTACCACTACTACCGCTACAGCTACCCCATAGCACTACTACTACTACTACTACTACTACTACTACTGTTGTTTCTAGGTTTGTTAGCACCATACCCGTGCTCCTGGGATTCACCGAAGTGGTAAACGTCTGAGACCTGCATCATTTCGGGCTTTCCTCCCACATTAAGCTGACACGCTGTGATATAACTGAAATACTGTTAAAAGCGGCGTTAAACTCAACTCACTCACTCACTACTACACTTACCACCCATACAACTACTACCACCACCGCCGCTACTACTACCACTGCTACTATACCACTACTACTACTACTACTACTACTACTACTACTACTACTACCCGTACTACCACTACAACTACTACTGCCACCACCGCTACCACTACCACTGCTACTATACTGGTACTACTACTACCACTGCAACTACTACTACTACTAGTATTACTACCACTGCTGCTACTAGTACCACTGCCAATGCTGCTACTACTACTACTACTACTACTACTACTACTACTACTACTACTACTACTACTACTACTGTTACAGCTCATCTCCGTAGTCTAGTGTGATAGAACGTCTGCCCGGGAGCGAAAGGTCGGTGGTTCGGTGGTTCGATAACAAAGACGTTAAAAGACTGTAGTTGCTGTTACCCTGCCTGGCGCTCGGCATTAAGGGGATAAAACAAGGCCGGGTAGGCTCGCAACCAGCGTCATGATATCTCATTGGGCTAGCACACACACACGCACGCACGCATACACACACACACACACACACACACACATACGCACACATACGCACGCACGCACACATACATACACACGCGCGCGCACACATACACACATACATACATACACGCGCGCGCGCACACACACACACACGCGTGGTTATTCGATGGAGATGTATTTGGACCTTAAGTCTGCAGTGTTTAGGAGACATTTTTTAGCCCAGTAACGTTTTGATAACGTATGTAATTTTAAAATCAAATAGAGTTTTCAAGCGTATACTTTCTTTTGCCCAGCAGTTTATTTAAATTCAACCAGCATAATGGCAGCCTGTGCTCGGAGCGGCTTTCAACAACCCGTGTTTCACGAGGCTTGACATTGTCTTGACAGGGACCAACAACTCTTAGCTGTCCTGCTCGGAAAATTGATTTTCATTTATGACTTGAAATATTTACAACAGTAATTTGTTCTTCCAAAACAACAAGAAACGGTGCGCGTCCTTCTGTCGCCATGGCAACCAGCTGCAGGTGTTGTCGCCTACACAGCCCGTGTTGAACTGGAACGCGCTGTTTGTGATCAAAGCAACCAGGTAGATGTCGTTCTATGAGAATATTGATTATTGCATACCGTCAGGCAGATCGATATGTCTGGGGTCGGGGGGTGTAGGTGGGGTGCGGTGTTCTATACAACGTGGGCGTTGAGTCGTGGGGCGATGCCTACATACGCGGCGACCTGTTGTCAAATGATCGCGTTACACCATTATAGCAGAGTACTTGTTCACTGGAATCGCTACCATTTCTCTCTCTCTCTCTCTCTCTCTCTCTCTCTCTCTCTCTCTCTCTCTCTCTCTCTCTCTCTCAGAAGTATTTGGCTGTAGTTTGGACACTCCACGGTACTATATGCAGTGCCTTTTTAGAGTGTACCCGCATTCGTACAGACATTCAGTTTGACTTTTAGGATTGGAATAAAAAACAATACGTGATTGCACCATCGTCCCATTAGGACTTTATGAACGCTGTTAAAAAACAATTATTCCTATTTTATATAAAAAAAACCCCAAAGAAATGGTTTTCGTCCTACATTTGAAAACGTCTGTTAATCTTAAATTTTAACCTTCATATATTCAGCATCAATATTCTCGACATATTACGCCGCGCTCAGCATTATTCAAGCTATATGACGGCGGTCTGTAAATCGAGTCTGGACCAGAGAATGCAGTGATTGACATCTTGAGCATCGATCCACGCAATTAGGATACGATGAGTTGCATCATCCAAGTCAGCAAGCCTGACCACCCGATCCCGTTAGTCGCCTTTTACGACAAGCATAGTCTCCTCTTACGGCAAGCGTGGGTTGCTGAAGACCTATTCTTAGCCCGGATCTTCACGGGTACTCCTATTTACAGACGACACGTGGTCATTCAGGACAGACAAAAGTAACAACGAAAGAGGGTGCTTCATTCTGTCCGGGGTGTATATTTAGCCAAACTGTGATGCTGTTGCAGGTGTTCCTGAGCAGATGAGAGAAATCGCCAAGGAAAGCAAACCCTTGCTGGAAATCACACAAGATGCTGGCGACCACTTCATGATCCGCACAACAGTCGGAGACAAAGTAAAAGAATACAAGTTTGTCATCGGCCAGGCCTTTGATAGCGTCTCTCTCACTGGCCAACCTCTAAAGGTACACACAGAGATGGGATGATTCTGAAGAGAACATATTTTTTTCAAATTTTGGAAGCGACATTAAGCAATATCACGATATATATATTTAGTATGGAGAATTTTAAAAAGTGTTGGAACCCGAGAAATATTTAAAACGTTGTTTTTTTCTTTTTAAACAAATAAGTATAATATTTTTATAAGAATAATGGTGGTAGAGGATTGGCAGTTGATATTTATATTTAAGATTATATTCAATTTGTAAATATGGAATAGATGATGAATTTCACTTATTGTAGCTTTGTCCTGCATACAACCAGTTAAGGAAACGGTATTTTCCAGAGTATTTCTGTAATCTGTCGAAAGATTATTATCAAATGTAAATACTGATATGATGACACGGTTAGCTAGGTGTCTGGCAGTTGTTAAGGAAGTAATCCTATTATTCATATACTACTCAAAAGAAGGAATTCATAGCTTGTCGGCCATCAGATCCGTGCCAATTTACACTTGTCAAAGGGGTACTCAAAGTACGTGATCTAGACTACCAGTTGTCGGACCTTCACTTATGTGGAAGCCTCGGTTGCTGAATGGGTTAGATCGCTAACTTTGTGTGCTTTACTAAGAAAGTATTATAACAAATATAGCTTTTGTTACTCAAAAGAAGTTAAGAAAACCCGATTCCTTCATATAATCATCCCATGAAAGATTGAACATAGTAGTAGCATGTTCTTTAACTTCTTTGAGTAGAATATATTGTCATTACGTACTTCTCATTGTAAACCAAATATACACCTTGAGTTTGTTTGTTTGTTGTTTAACGCTGGACTCAGCAAAATTCCAGGTATATGACGGCGGTCTGTAAGTAATTGAGTTTGGACAAGACAATCCGAGAATGAAATCATGAGCATCGATCCCATGTTATCGTTACCCGACGGATCGTTGCTCACAATATCAATCACTGGATTGCCTGGTCCAAACACGATTGTTCACATACCGCTGGAATTGTGCGGCGTTAAACAACAAGCACACACGTCACCACGCGTTCCGTCTCCTGCAGTCGGTGGTGGTCCTGGAGGGGGAGAAGATGGTGGAGACTCAGACGCTGGGGGACTTCAACATCCTCATCGAGAGATCTGTGGAGGAAGGCAATCTGGTGTCGGTGAGTAGCAGGCCATCTTCCCGAGGCAAGGGAGTTAACTGACAATAAAAGTCCAGTTTCCACCCTTGGCGAACCAGGCTGGAATTCTGGAGTTACGTTTTGGCTGGACTAACGAGTCTATGCATAGTCCAATCAAAATCGCGTAAGGAACTAGACATCTGGTTCGTTAACAACATGGATTCCAACATGCAGATTTACGTCGACAGCAGGGTTTGCAAAGCATGTGTACCGGCAACTCGGCGTAGACAGATATTTTGCAAATCATATAATGCAGGGGTATATAGCGATCAGCCAGTCTGTCTGTCCGTCCGTCTGTCTGTCCGTAATCATTTCCTTTTCCTGGGCAGAACTCGAAAACCGTTCTGTGTATTTGATCGAAACTTGGCAAATCTATCAGTCACATACTGAAGTTGTGCCTTTTGCTATTTTGTAATTTTTATTTTTTTATTTTTGCTATTTAGGAATGTTTCAAAATTTCATTTTTTCGTGTATCCATGGACACAAGTTAGACTTTGCTGAAATGGAGGTAGGTGTCGTTTCTGGAGCAGCACTAAAAAAACTGTTCAACAGTGTTGAATCAAACTTGGAACATGTATTATTCAGGGGTTGAAGTGGTGCCTTTTGCTATTTAGGATATTAGATATTTTTTTCCTGTTTCCATGGCAAGAAGTTTGACCTTGGCTACATCTTTAAAACTAATAGGTATTCTTCCTTGTAACTATGCACACATATGACCAGTTTGTCATCTGGTGCCTTTTGTTAATTAGGGATTGTTAGAATTTATATTTTTTCTGTTTCCCTGGCAACAAGTTTGACTTTGACTGTTCATGTTGGTGTGTACAAAGAAATACAAAGTTCCGAATCCCAATTCCATGGTATTGTTTTGATAGCTCAATAAATACGTACTCTTGAATACTGACAGACAGATCAGATAGTAATTCTTCATCAAGTGAACTTTACAGGCAGATAATTTGTTCTTTAGAATTTAAAGGAGCCGGGGGGATTTGTCATCTTCTGATGACTCTTGTTTAATCAAAGTGCTCACGTGAAGTGATGAACTTCGCCAAGTAAGGGGATTGGCTGCACCGAGTGGGCACTGACAGGTGTGGGGAGGGGGTTGACCATTGAGCGCTCAGATTACATCACACAGCTGACAACATTTCTCGTGCAACATTTGCTTCATCCTTGCGGCCATATTTACACCATACTGCTTCAACGTAAGGTATCAGTAGGGTTGGAATGAACCTCATTCACGAAGTAGGGCTCATTTGACATCCATGCATCATTGCGTTGGTTGACTTCGGGTTCGATCCCCACATGGGTACAGCCCATTTCTGGTGTCCCCCGCCGCGATATTGCTGGGATTTTGCTAAAAGCGGCGTAAAACAATACTCACTCACTACGTTGTGAACAATTCTCCGTTAGTTTTCTCAATTTCACGATGGTTAGAATAGGTTCCAAACACCCATGCTCAACGCGAGAAGATTGAGTTGGGTTTATCGCCGCTTTGAACAGTAATTTAGCTATATCATGGCGTGTCAACTTGCTGTGGAAGGAGAGCTCGAAGTGATTCAGCTTTAAACGTCGCGTTCAAGATTATTGCACTTATATAGCGACGTGCATGTACGTGTGTGTGCTATTCCGGACTAATGCCGGTTTTATAATGTCAGCCTGAGATATCATGTCGCAGTTTACCCCACTCAGACACGTTATTCTGACTCCAGATCCATCTGTCCTTGTTTTATCCCCTAAATATAATGCAGCAGTCAGGGTAACAACAAGTACCATCTTTGAACGCACTGTCCACCACATTATTTAAGAAATAAACGACTCGTGGTCGTTGTTTATCGTACAATAAAACATTACAGGGAGAATAAACCATAAGGGGTGGCTTATTTCTTAAACGAGATATCAATATTTTGTACAGTCTGTTTAAGGATGTCAATAGATTGTAGAATTTTGTTTTAAATCATTATACAATCCGACCTCGGCAATGTCGGACAAATCCATTTTTTTTCAGGGAGGGTTAAATTTGGTATTGTCGCAACTTCCACGTTGAATATCTACACATTTTCTCCCAATACTGATTGTCATGTCTCTCCCAGTTTTGGGTGCTATCGTTCGGCCATTGCGTTCATCTGCGTTGTCCAGCTTCATCTTTAGGAGATGGGAAATAACTCACTCTCGACACGTCCAATTTACGACGTCATCAAGTTGCGAGCGCATGTTCGAATCTCCAGACATGTCGTCATGCAAGAACTTTTTTTTTTATCGCGAAATAAAAAACAGGCTTCGTTCTTTGTGATTTTTATCTTATATTTACGGTTGCTGCTTGTTCGGCCAGGACGCATTGATTATCTTAACCTTTCATAGAGGCAATGTCCTGATACGTCGGGGTGACTTTGATGCGTGTTGATAAAACCATTGGGCACTGTGGGTAATCCTGATGGGTCAGCCAGTACTTACATGATATTAAACTCTCAGTGCCCTCTAGGATACCATAATCATGGGTTGTCATGGCAATTAACTCTGACAGTATGTGTGTTAATTACCGGATCCAACCTTGTTGATGTTCAATGTGTTTGGTGCTATAAGTGTCTTTGTTTAGGAATGTAAATTGTCCTGACTCGGGACATTAGTAGTTTTATTTGCACGTTATTATTAATAAGTCTGGAGCATTATTTAACTTTATGATAAAAAGTTGCAAAATTGTTTGTCTGAGAAAATAAGAAAACGTTTCCTTAAAATGTGATTCACTGTGTCCAGAAGTTATACTACTGAGGTTATGTAATACATTCGAAGAGACCCGTGAAGATCCGGATTATAATAGGTCTTCAGCAACCCATGTTTGCCGTAAAAGGCGACTATGCTTGTCGTAAGAGGCGACTGACGGGATCGGGTGGTCGGGCTCGCTGACCTGAGCCCCGTTCCACAAAGCGATCTTAGTGCTAAGTTGGTCGTAACTCCCATACTTCATCATAGGCTTAGGATCAACGTAGCACTAAGATCGCTTTGTGGAACGGGGCCCTGGTTGATGCATGTCACCGTATCCCAACTGCGTGGATCGATGCTCATGATGGCAATCACTGGATTGTCTTGTCCAGACTCGATTATTTACAGACCGCCGCCATATGGCTGGAATATTGCTGAGTGCAGAATTAAACAACAAACAAACAAAACCAACAAACATTCGGAAGACACCAGTGAAGAGGAATAAAAGTGCATTTTTTACATCAATTTTATGACGTTTCTTAGGAAACAGGACTGCGTCTTGATGTGTTCTCGTTAATCATATATTTATAACGCGGCAGATTCCATTCACGAAGTGAATACTTTGGCACTAAATTATTATTACCCCGGTCTTCAGATACGTTGGCACTAAAAATTTCATACTCAGCTCCATGGGGAGTATACATGCTGAGGAGCTAGGAGGTTAACAGTCACACTAACATCTCATCCTACGTGTACCCATTTACTGCTGAGGGTACATATTCGGATTTAGTTTAGGGTTTCACTATTGTCGGTCTAATGAATAAAAAATACATGATTTTAACGTTTATGATATTCTTTCCTCAGAGGATGACCGTCAACAACGTAACGGCGACTGTGGTGTTCAGCAAAGCATGACCGGAAGTGCTCCGTCCTCCATCTTGTTTACCAATCAACGAGTATAACCGCACGAACGCGCCAACTTGAAATCTGCAAGTCGATTTACCGTGCAATCATCTCAGAGATACATCGCTGCCACTCCTGTACTCATATCTCGTAATAAACTCTCTTGTAACTGTTTTCAGTGATGCATCTATATCTACAGACACTTAGTTTTGAGTATTGTTATCATTTATTATCATACTAAGTCATTTTTTAAAACGTAAAAAACAAGTTGCCTGTCTGACAATAAATACCATCTGACATTAGTGAGTGAGTTGGGTTTAACGCCGCTTTTAACATTATTCCAATTATATCGCGGCATATCAGCTTAATGTGGGAGGAAAGCCCAAAGTGATGCAGGCCTCAGACGTTTACCACTTCGGTAAAACCCACGAGCACGGGTATGGTGCTGACAAACCTAGAAACATAATAAACAATAATAAAAACGGTTATTCGATGGTGATGTGTTTGGTACGGGTGTCATATTTATGTTTTGGACCTTACGTTTGCAGTGTTTTCGGCGACTTTTTCGTCCAAGTAACGTTTTATAACGTTCGTAATTTTTCCATCCCATCCAATTTCCAAGTGTCTACTTTCTTTTGCCGGCAGTTCAGTTTAGGTGTCCGCCGCCATAGATTTCTTTAAACGTCGACGTCTATTCACATATTTTATGTGACTGGTTAATTTGTCATGCCTAACATTTGTGGGGCGCTTCAATCAATTTAAGCTTCGTCCTGAATATTTTCATTGTATCAATTAATCTTATAGTGAGTGAGTGAGGTTTTACGCCGCTTTTAGCAATATTCCAGCAATATAACACATTGTACCCATGTCGGGAGTCGAACCCGGGTCTTCGACGTGACGAGCGAACGCTTTAACCACTAGGCTACCCGACCACCACAGTTAATCTTATAAGTTCATATCTTATCCACAGGCGGCCCAAATAAACGTTTCTAAATTTAACATTTAACTTGTTAATATCTGTCAAAATTACCAGGGTCTCGTTCCACAAAGCGATCGTAGCGCTAAGACGATCGTAACTCCCATACTTTAACATGGGCTTGACAGTCGCAGCGCTAAGACGATCGTAACTCCCATACTTTAACATGGGCTTGACAGTCGCAGCGCTAAGACGATCGTAACTCCCATACTTTAACATGGGCTTGACAGTCGCAGCGCTAAGACGATCGTAACTCCCATACTTTAACATGGGCTTGCGACAGTCGCAGCGCTAAGATCGCTTTGTGGAACGGGGCCCAGGAGGTCTCCAGCTGAGTGTTGGCTTCAGACACAGTAACCCAGGTGGAGAATTGAACCCGGGTCCATGACGTGACGAGCTAACACATTAACCACAAGGCTACCCCACGACCCAAGCGTGCCAGAAAACCAATCATAACCAATACATAATTTCGACTTAAAACTGAGCTATGATATTTACGTTGGTAATGCCATGATAATGTGATGAACGATTACTATCTGATATGCACTTATAGGTGTTTGTATGGAATCCTAGAAGGACCTTGTCGCGTTGTCGCCCTTACAAAAACATGCAAAAAGTGTAAAAAAATAGCCAAAGCGTGACAAGGCGCATCTTCCCGAGGCAAGAGTGTTAACTGACCACTAAAGTCCAGTTTCCACCCTTGCCGAACTAGGCTGGTTTTATGGAGTTGTACTGGTACTATGTATAGTCCAATCAAAATCGCGCAACTAAATCGAAATCCGGTTCGAAAACTGTCGTGCAGGTTGTGGTCGATTGCAGGATTTGCAAAGCATGTGCACTGCCAACTCGTCAACAGATAATTTCCAAAACTGTTCATGCTTTTAATCAAGGTGCTCGCGTGATTTGATGCACTTCGCGATGTAAGACCCGTTTTATCACAATGTAGATCTTGATTATCGATCAGATCGTCTTGACTGGGCGCCGCCATTTTGTTTGAAACAAATGCAAGTGATACGAGATCTGATTGGTCCATAGGCGAGGCTGAGAAGGGACATAACTCGTAATAACCACTGGTGGCGATACGATGGATCCCAGGAATTCCAGCCTAGTTCGGCAAGGGTGGAAACTTGACTTTTAAAGTCAGTTAACTCTCTTGACTCGGGAAGATGGACAAGGCGGCATTTTTAACACAAGTCTTTCGAGGATCCGGAACGTTTTTCCAGGGTTGGCAGAACGGCGAGAGGGTCACAATAAACACGATGGACAAAATGACTATTTGACTAGCGATGCAGTGATAGGACAGCCGATTAGCTGCAGTCAGAAACACGGATTATTAATAGCTTCATGTCTGGAGATTTGTGTTCAGGCACAAATAAGGCAATGTCTCAGACGGAGACCTGATTGCTCGGACTAACTAATTTACTGCTACTGGCAATATATCGTCGGAACATAGGTTTTCGGACGGCAACGGTTATCGCTATTACTCGCGCTATAACAGGGGTGTAGCATCACACGGACATTTCAAATACTCAGATGATGGCTTGTTTTTAAGAGAAAGTTGTCTTTTGTAAGTAAATGGGATGTTTCACAGTTGTTCATGTGATTAGAGAGAAATCTACAAATGTTTCTTAAGCGTCCGAAAACCCACAACACGGGGATATATGATTGTTATTATTACTTTAACGTTTTATTTGTTATTCCAACTTTTAATATGAATTTGTTGGGCAAACGCATACACGCCACGCGCCTTTCTAACAGCTGATGTGAAGGCGTATTGGGGGACTATTGGAAGCGCTCGTAAAATAACAGCATATCAGAAATTGTAAAAAACATAATTTCTGTTTAATTCCATGACGTAGGATGGTACTTTACATTAGTGCTGAGACACTCTGGCCATTCTAAATGAAATAATATACTGAGTGAGATTTGAAACATGTTTCAGTTATATCACGGCCTGTCAGCTTAATATGCTTGCTAATCCCGAAATCAGTCACATCCTGAAGCCACGTTATGATTCTTAGATGAATCATCGATTCGATCCAACAGTCAGCGAATACTGTCATGTCTAAGGGACGCAACTCACACATCCGTGCTCCCTTTCTCCACAGCGACTACAACGGTGGTAAGTGTACAACCTGTGCCTGATCAGCGATTCCGTAGCTTTAGATGGCTCACAAAGCCGTTTGCGTTTATATAGTAGGCCATGCCACGAGGAAACTGCTGTTTCCTGATTGGCTGATAATATAGTGGGCGGGGCTTGTGTTGCATTATTGCGCAGAATGATGTCACTGATTTCATGTTGTAGTCTACAGATTCGGTATTACATAATTAAATAAGGAGTGTATGGAGTTATCATTAAGTTGACCAAGTTAATGATAAGAATTGGCTTCATTATACTTTGGTGTTTAAAGAGGTATCAATGTAAAACCCAGTGTGCGCGGTCTGCGCAAATACGCGGATTTACACAATGTGCACACAGATTTCTACGTTCATAGTTCGCCGTTTTTGATTTGGGGCTGAAGAGTTACCCTTCATCTACGGAAGCCCATGAGAGCCATTACACACACACACACGCACGCACGCACGCACGCACGCACGCACGCACGCACACATTCAGCTCTCAGTTACTATATATGATTTGAATAAATCTATAGGCGAGCCATATAACTACTTGAAGGAGGCTCCAAGGATAATATCTTCAGGTCACGTATATATAGTAATTACATAGGATACATGTCTATATATCTGTAGTACCCGTGCCGGAACCACCCCTCCAGCTCCAACCAGTGTGACCAACGATTGAGGCTTTTTAGCATATGTCTATATTTGACACCTGCATATATATAGGTGACCCGGGGCGGTCGGGTAGCCCAGTGCACGTGGTTAAAGCGTTCGCTCGTCACGCCGAAGATCCGGGTTCGATTCCCGACATGGGTATAATGTGTGAAGCCCATTTCTGGTGTCCCCCGCCTAAAATTGCTGGTATATTGCTAAAAGCTGCGTAAAACCATACTCACTCACTCACTCACTCACCTAGGTGACCCAATAATAATGACGCTGAGTATAGTTCGCTCCTTCACCGGGGCATAATATGACCATTTTGGACCTTTCTTTCCTGTATTTATCGAGGACACGGGTGGCCCAGTCGTCTAAGGAGCCGCGATTCGCTGTGCAGAGTTGCGTCCCTTGGGCACGCCAGAAACCTATGATTGGGGTTCGAATCCCGGTTCGCCCCGATTATGTTTCTAGGTTTGTCAGCACCATACCCGTGCTCGTGGGTTTCACCGAAGTGGTAAACGTCTGAGACCCGCATCACTTCGGGCTTTCCTCCCACATTAAGCTGACACGCCGTGAAATAACTGGAATACTGTTAAAAGCGGCGTAAAACCAAACTCACTCACTCCAGAGCTCCAGATAAGCTTTTGGTGTTGTGGGTATTTTACCCATGCATTTTAAAATCCCGTGCGTATCAGCTATACTATCTGGGTATTCAAATTTCTGTTACCCACTAGTTTTTACACATGTGGGTATTTAAGTTAAATATTTAAAAACACTATTCATCTAGTCCCTGCAAACTGGTGTTGTGTGGGTTCGAGAGCTTTATAGGACTCAAAAATACCACGATACTTCCACAAGAAAGTGTGATGGCAAATGATCATGATGTAACTGTCATCGTGGAGTTTGGCAAGGTTGACGGAATGCCCGTTTATAATTTCAAAATAAGTTGCTGATTTGCCAATCGAATACGCAGGATTACTTCACAATATTTTGAATATACGCACAAGTTTTATTTTTGTAGCGTATCTGTAATGTTCGTTGCGTATTTGATACGCTTGGATATTATTTTACTGCGTATTTCTGCATTTCTGATGCGTATTTTACGCAGATACGCAGCTTATCTGGATCTCTGCACTCACTCCTGTATTTATCATTTAAGTCAATGGTACAATGTTGAAATGTCAAGACACACTAACATGAAAATGTGTCCAAATCTTTTAAAAATTTAATTAAGTATCTTGAAAATGTCACCTTCTGGCGTAGATCGATGTTAAATACCCTGTTGGGCACACGTACCCTCCAATCAATCACTGGTCAAACAGCCTTGTTATCAAGGACTATTGTATATCGTGGGAGCATGAACGATAAATTACCAACCTCACAAACAACCATTCATCACGCCTAACAGGTCCCGGTCTGT